TGCAGCCACCCCCCGCCGCGCCGGCCCGTGCTGTGACCGCTTCGTAGGTGGCCCAGCCGGCTCGGTGCCGAGAGCCCGGCGCAGGCTCCCGGTGAGCAGCCTGTGCTGAAGGAGCACCCCGCCACCCCCCCGAGACAGCAGAGGGTTTCCCTGGAGCCTCTCGCCCTTGCACCGTTGCTAACCTGTGGTTCAGCCATCACCGAAGAACCATTTCCCAGTGGGCCAAACGTCCCGAAGCAGTGAGACACACACGGTGCCTGGCAGCTCTAGCGCAGAGCCCAGATCAGCCCAGCTCGTGGGGTACAAGATAAGAATCATGCTACGAGGATGAGGGGCCTGGAGCACCTCTGCTATGAGGAGAGGCTGAGGGAGCTGGGCTTGTTCAGCCTGGAGAAGAGAAGGCTGAGAGGGGACCTTAGAAATGCCTCTAAAAGTTCCAGCTGAACACGAGGAAGAACTTCTTCCCTCTGAGGGTGACGGAGCCCTGGCCCAGGCTGCCCAGGGAAGCTGTGGAGTCTCCTTCTCTGGAGATATTCCAGCCCCACCTGGACGCGGTCCTGTGCAGCCTGCTGTGGGTGACCCTGCTTGGGCAGGGGGTTGGGCTGGGTGACCCACAGAGGTCCCTTCCAACCCCCACCATTCTGTGATTCTGTGATCACAGATATCAGTCTCACACCTGGAAATATCATTACCTTCACAGCACTGCTTTGCATTTGGTCTGTCTAAACAAAGAGGGCTTTGATGGGTGGTGGTGTGCTGCTGACGTGAACCTGCTGGTCACCACTGCCAGCGCAAACGCTGCACGTCGGTATTCTGGGCTGGCTGCTGATTTAAGACCTAGTTTTTGCTGCTTACTATATCTGGAACTGAGCAGAGCCAGCGCTTGGCATGCCTGCGCCCACTGCCATTAGCAGTGAGAGCAAAGCTTCCACAGCCCTCACAAGTCAGTGTGCTTCTGTAGGCTGCAATAGCCTCAGATGGCAAGCGGGATTCTTGGCTTTTCTGCCTTACATGCTTCAGTCTGGGAGAGGAAACTGAAGTTGTGCCTTCACAGATCACTGTACTAGGAACTACCCATTTCCCCTACGTGCAGGGACTCTGGCTATGACCTGGAGGCCACAAATGTTAACTAAAAAGCTTTCATCTTGTCTTTGCAGCTCCCTGGCAATTGGAACCACAACTGGATACAGGCTTTTCTCCTTAAGTTCTGTGGAGCAACTGGACCAGGTCCATGAAAGCAGTAAGTCTCCTGTCCCGCTGCAGTGGAATATTGGCTGACAGACTTTGCCTGCATCACTGCACTTCAGTCTGCCTTGAGGGGGTGATCCTGGTCACTGCTGTTGCAGAGCTGGCATCTGTTTCTGCTGTACCCATATCAGGAGAGGAACAGCTCTGGTTATTGCCCTGTGCGCAGCAGCCTGTAGAGCTAGCTACAGCCTTGGAGAAGCTTCCGAGCAGTCAGCAGTGCTTAACAAAATCAAAGGACTCCCACAAGTTTAGAGTCCAGCTTCTTTTTCACTGCCATCAGTCTCATAGCAGCAGCTTATCCTGCAAACCAGCATTCAGAAGTAGTTTACCACTGGTATGCTGTGTGTATGTAGACTGGAGACTGCAGACTCCCAGCACAGATGCTGGAGAACTCACAGTCCAATGTGGCATTTACAAGCAAGGTGTTTTTAACAGGTTTCCCATGTAAGAAGGTCATTCACAGCAGGCTTTTAGCTGTTAGCTGTGCTCAGAGCAGCAAGCAGTGCACTGAACAGCCCAAAACAAGTCAGGCCTCATGCGGCGTGTACTCTAGTCTGGTTCAGGCCATGGCCAGAAGCATTTCAGCTGAGATGCACCAAAGGTACACCTCACAGCTGGGAGATGCTGGTCTCTCTCCACTGGCTATAGAGGAAGCCTCAGCAACCAGACATAGCTGCATCATCCAGAACGAAGTCCAGGCTCCTTTCCTCTTTATCTCACAGCATAACTCAGTTGCTATATAGCAGCAAGCCATAGACTTATTTTAAAAGTATTTAGGAGTTTGAATTGCCCTCAGAGTCAGACCAAAGAGAAGCAGATCCCTCCTGGTGACACGCTCAAGGTGATGGCCTGAGACATGAGCAGTCCCTGTACCTCCAACACAGCACAGCCCAAGCACTGAGCACCATTCAGGGCTACCTACACTAGAAGTTATAACCCCCAATAATGTAAGTATAGGTTCACCAGAACCATTGTACAGTGTCTTCTCAGCACAACAGGAGTAATCCCAAACACAGTCTCTGCAAGACATGCCACACCACTGTTCAGCACAGCCGTGCTAGAGCTCTCTAAAGACCACAACCCCAGTGACAGGGAGTGATTAAACACATCAGCCTTCCGTAAAACACTGCGCAGAATAAAGCGAGGTACACACAGCTAGCCTTACATCAGTAAGCCCCAGACCACCCACTCTCTTCAAGAAAACCCCAGCCAAATTGAGTGAGCTCCTCCTTTTTATATCCCCTTCCCATGGATTAGCTTCAGCTAGAGGGCCCTGCTCAGGAGAGGCACAATAGCACTGTCAAAGGGGGCTGGCTTAAATTCTGCCTTTGGGGGAAGGTTCATTAACCCCTTCCTGCTCTGTCCTAAATGCTTTGTGCCAGGTGTAAGAATTTTTTTTTCAACCAAAGCAGATGTTGAACACCTTAGCACTGAGCGCTCCAGCCCGGTTCCCCACTGAGTCTTACTTGTTGCTGCAACCAAACCAACTGTAAACCAAGCTAAAGACTCTGTCTTGCTTTCCTTCTGTGCCCAGATGAAATCCCAGATGTTTACATCGTGGAGCGTCTGTTCTCCAGCAGCCTGGTGGTTGTGGTCAGTCATGCCAAGCCACAGCAAATGAATGTCTACCACTTCAAGAAAGGGACAGAGATCTGCAACTATAGCTATTCCAGTAACATATTGTCCATCCGGCTGAATCGTCAGGTGAGAGGCTGGGGAAGGGGGTTGGCAAGAGCTATCCCACAGTGGCTCTTTGCTGGTGTTGACTCTCCAGCTGGGGCCCCGCTGGCAGCCTGGGCAGGGTTGCACAGAGACTGGAGGGGTAGGTGCCTGTCCTCTTGTCAGCCCCGCTTCAGGCTTGGTGACCTCTGACAGAGGAGCAGGATGGCTGTGGATATCATCTGCCGCAACTGCTGGCTTCAGTAAAATGAAGCTAAGTCCTTGTTTTCGTAGCAGTTACACAAAGACTTTTTGTTGCCTGTCTTCTTGCCTATTCAACACACAGCTCTGCCAAAAAAACACCTTTTCATCTTCCTCTCTCCTTTGGATTCCACTTCCTGACTTCGGGCCCACCTCTGCCATCTTGGTTGCAAATGAGACCTTCAAAGTTGGTAACAAAACCCAGAAGTAACTTGAACTCCATGGATGAGGCAAAGGGCTGCTTCTCATGTACTGCTAGCAGCCTTGGTTTATTTTTAAAGATATAGGAAACATTCAGGCCACTTAGAAGAAGGCTTTTAGAGTATTACTCTCTGAACTGACATAGCCTCATGCAGCCCTGAGCACCTCTGGAGGATTTTAAGTCATCTTTTCTTTTTATCCATAATTATTTTCAAAGTATATGCCATAAGAAGCAGAAGACTTTTTACAATGAAGAAATAAGCAGTCTGTGTAATTGTATATAATCAGCCTCTCCTTAGTTAGCAACAGTGAGTCCTGCAGTAAGGCTCTCCCATAAGGAAACTCTGGGTTGAGTTTCCAGTAAAGCTGTGCTTGACCAGAAGTTCCTGTATTACAATTAAATCTGTCCTAAATTGATTTTTTTCACTTAAACTTACAATGGAGCTGGCAAAATAAGGACTTCCTTTGAATTGCAGATAGATGTATACATAATAAAAATAAACTGGGAGTTTCTGCTTAGCAGCTCTAGGAGATAAGCGTGAGAATAAAATATGTTCAGGCTTTTCCCCATGTGTTGCTCTGGACGTTGCCTGAAGATGATGCACAGGCGCAGCTTTGCATCCGCGTTCCTTGGCTGCTGTATGAGCTTGGGTTGAAATCCTGGGCTGAGCTTATCCTCCAGCCATAACACAGACAAACCTGGAGAGATTTGAAGATGCCACAGATACTTGCGTAGATAGGAGAGAAATCGCTGTTTCAATCTACATTCAAGATTTAAACTGGTGGCTGTCAGGTTCTGCATGTGCTGTGACATTTGAGCCTTTTGCCTGGGCTTTTGTGTGAAAACTACACTTCATTAAAAGACCACAGAAAGCCACATCCCATACAAGGCATTAACAGAGGAAAATGGTGGCAGATAAAACAGGAACAGGTCTCAAACAAGTGGTGCATATTTCGATTCGATCTCTCTGAAAATGTCCTCATGCAAACGAGCGAGTCCCTTGGTTGTTGTTGATCCATGGGAATTCTTTGTTCCAAGCTCCGTTACAACTCTGAAGTGTGTCAAGGTAGCTCGTGATTTGTCTCCAAGCAAGGAATAAGGCTGTGCTGTGGGGCTGGTGAGAAGCTCTCCCGCAGCCTCCCTGGGTTTTCATTCTCTGCTGAAACCCTGCTGAGCTCTTTGGAGAGGTTTGATAATTTTCCCTGACTGTGTCCATACCCAGCACATTTAAGTCCTCCACACACAACTCAGTTATCTAATCTGATTCGTGTCAAACTGAAGTACAAAAGAAAAATCCTGGTGAGCAGTAACATTCCGTACAAGATGCAGTGCCTTGTACTGTGTAGCCATCACACCACCAGGCACCTTCTCTGAGGCTCTGTCTGCGTGCACAGTGAGGATAAAAACCCATTCCTCATCTCAGCAGGGTTTGTGCTGACGTTAGCATGGACTGCAGGGCTGCATGGAGGGCAGGAGGCAGAGAACCAGCCCTCTCCGTCTTGTGGTGAGCTTGTCCAGGCCTCCTTTGCCTGTTCACCTCCCTCTCCCATCGCTTTCCTGGATTTTGTCCCTGTCGGTGCCAGCATCTCTTGCTGCAGCTCTGGCTGTTGCTTTGCCGTCATCTGGAAACCTCCCTTCACCTGTACATCAACAGCAGCGCGTTTTGCAGTTCTGGGAAAGCAGATGGTGGCTTTGCCGAAATCAGCTGTATAAATATTACTCTGACAGTCTCTGCTAGGAAGTTGATAGCTGTTACTGTAGAAAAGGCAAAGTCTTCCTGGAAATGCAAAACAGCTCTGACACAGCCCCAGATGCTGTGGTTAGCAGGAATAAAAGAGTTTGATCTGAGAGTAATGGTGGAGCAAGGCAGAGATTTTCTAATGTGGGTGTTTCAAGTTAGTGACTAAGATCCACATTTAGATGCTAAATAAGTGGCCTCATTTCTAAAGAGGTGGAGGCTTCCTGTACATGGATCCGGGCGCTCCAGCTTCAGGAGCTTGGATGGAGTCTGGCCTTAGGTTTTTCTGGGAGGTTTTTAGCGCTTCTGGACACTTGGCACTAACTTAGGCGAGGCTGTGTGCTCGCTGGGCTGAGGAAGCACAGCCCCTCGGCCAGATCCAAAGCCTGGTCCCAGAAAGGCCTCTATGCAAAATGCCTCCCTGCTAACACAGAGAGGTCTGGACCGAGCTGAGACACAAAGGTGAGCGGTCACGGAAATGGCAGCCCAGTGCTAAGGTGGCAACATTAGGCTTCCTTTTTCCTCCCCATGGCTTGGCAGCTCCTCTCTTAGCGGCCGCCTCTTGGCTGGCTCTTGGGTGTTCCTGATGAGTTCAGCAGAAGAGGTACAACCACATTAAGTTGGAAATTCCCTACCCATCTGCAAAGATGGTGTAAATGTGACTGTCCCTGAAAAAATGTTTCCTAGCCCAGTTTTTACGCAGTTCTGCAGGGCACATAAAGCAGAGTCTTGCTTGCTGATGCCAAATGGGAATTTGCTGAACGGATGCGTTAGGTGTAGCAGCAGTGGGAGGCCCATCACCTACATGTTCGCTCCCAAATCAGGAAAAAGTCAGGGCAAAAGGCACGCAGTCCCATCTGTAGGCATCCTGACAAGCAGGCTTGGCAGCCTCTCTGCTGCCTGGTCTTTACGATCAAAAAGTAATTTGCTGTGAAAAGAACTGCAGACAAAAATTGGGGTAGGAGAGGATGGCAATCGAGGCTCCGTGGCTAGGGTATAACCCTGATGTGTCTTCCTGTTCCTGGGGTCTGGGGAGTGGAAGATCAGCTGTGAGAGTAGCAGAGGATAAATCCTGATGTTTTGTCTGCTTCCTAACACAACACCAGATGCAGGCAGCTCTCTAAAGCAGCGTCATACAAAATCAAAGGTTGTCCAGTGAGAGGGGATGGAGAAGCAGAACAGATCATGTTTCTGTGACATTTCAGTGTGTGAGAAATTCCTGTGGAGTTTTTCTGACAGCGAGGATTTGTGTGTGTGAACTGTGGGAGCAGCAGACAGGCACCGTGTCCGTGCTGGTGAGGTCCTGTGCATGTCCCTTGTGTCCTTGCAGAGGCTGGTTGTTTGCCTGGAGGAGTCAATTTACATCCATAACATTAAGGACATGAAGCTTTTGAAGACTATTCTGGATACACCTCCAAATACAACAGGTAAGCGTGGGAGAGCTGTGCGAAAGGGAGATCGGCTCTGCAGGAGCTTTGTAGAGCCGCAACACTCGTGTTAGAATTTAAACCAGCCTGTGGTTTGTGTACCATAATTCAGCACCGGGGAGCGAGAAATGCATGGAGGCAGTCGGTCACAGAATCACAGAATCACAGAATGGTGGGAGTTGGCAAGGGACCTCTGTGGGTCACCCAGTCCACCCCCCCTGCCGAAGCAGGGTCACCTACAGCAGGCTGCAGAGGACCTTGTCCAGGCGGGTCTGGAATATCTCCAGAGAAGGAGACTCCACCAGCTCCCTGGGCAGCCTGTTCCAGTGCTCCGTCACCCTCAGAGGGAAGAAGTTCTTCCTCTTCCAAGTCGGGACTGGGAGAGCAGAAACTCTGCTCTGCCCTGAGCAAACGCTCGTTCAAAGGAGAGCAGAAATGGTCAGCGTGGTTTGACTTCACCTCCTGGGTTCGATCCCTTCCTATCCCCGTGCGGGTTGTCCGTGCAGCTCACGGCTTCCCGCAGTGTCCCTGATTCTCTTTCACAAGCGGAAAGCTGTCAGGCAGGCCAGGACCGCAAGTTTCCCTCCGCAGACAGAACAACTTGAAACTCTCCCTCCGCGGCTCCCTGCCCTTCCTTCCCCGTGCCCTGCGTCAGAGAGTCCCGCAGCGTTTTTGCTCTCCGGATGAAGGAGCCCCGCTTCCCCGCGCTGCCGGCGTGAGTCAGCTCTGCAGCGTCACGCCGTGCTGCAGAGCTCCGCGCTCGCTGCAGAGCTGTGGTTAACCCGGGTTCGCTTTTGGCCGTGGACATGCGCTGCTCTGCTAAGGTAGAAAGCTCCTGTGATTACTTACAGGCTTGGCATCAGCTCTCAAAGGGATTAGCGCTGTGAAGATCACCCAGGGCAGAAAACACAGCCAGGCACAGCGCTAATTCCCCGTCAGGGAGTTCCCAGGAGCCTGGGCTGCCACCTGATATTATTCCATACACTCTGCAAACCCAAGGGGCAGGGCAGGTGGCTGCACAACAGATCCTGTCTGTGCAGCGGAGGGTGAATCCGGCTTTCCTGCTCGCGGGACAGGAGCTATTTTTAGCCACGGAGAGGGAAACTTGGCCAGGCGCCTGCGGCAGCGCTGCCGAGCGCCGCTGTGATATCCCGGCCCGTCGCGCGCTGCGGCATCGTTTCGCGGTCGGTTGATCGGGAAGTTGCTGATGTGCTCATGCCTGGCTTCTGGGCTTTCAAGGGATGCTCTTCCGGCAGCTCCCCTGACCTACTTCAGGTCTCAACAGATGGCCTCTCCATGTGGATTAAACATACTAAATACTGCAAATATAATTAAAGTTTAAGAGCTCCCCGAGAAAGCCCAGCGGTGGCAGGAAGGGCAGGGATATCCAGGCCTGAAGCTGTTCTGCCATGGGGCTGAGCGATCAGGTCGTGGTTTAAGAGCAACGGCAATCAGCGCCCACCGGCACAGAACTTGGCTGCTGTGGATCACAGCACTTCCTAGGGGCTTAATTTTTTAAAACCCTTTTTCTGCAGCAGCTGTCACTGAAACAAGCTGAGTGCCAAGCGCTGTGCCACGCGTGCTCCCTGGGCTCCAGAGCATCTGCTTTGGTCCGCAGGCTGGCCCCAAGCGTGGCGTGTCCTGGAGGCCGAGGCAGTCCGGCCTCACCGGTCTTCGTACGACCCTTTTCGGAGTGGGGATCTGTGGTGAGGGGGTGTAGGAGCACACGCCAAGCGTGCCACCCTCCCCAAAGCTGCACCACGGGCACAGTAACGCTGGCACAGGGAGGACCGGGGTTTGCTGCACACCCACCGGCCAGTCGCAGTGAGGTCCCTGGCTGTTCCTGGCCAGGACCTTGCTTCTGATCCAGCCTCCTCCACGCAGGAGAAGGAAATGCCCATGGTGGCCAAGCCTGCTGTTTTTCATGTGTGCTCAAGCATGTTGTATTTCATGCGGCTCATGTCACGGAATCACAGAATCACAGAATGGTGGGGGTTGGAAGGGACCTCTGTGGGTCACCCAGCCCAACCCCCTGCCCAAGCAGGGGCACCCAGAGCAGGCTGCACAGCACCGCGTCCAGGCGGGTCTGGAATATCTCCAGAGAAGGAGACTCCACAGCCTCCCTGGGCAGCCTGGGCCAG